CAGCCGCCGCTGCCCCGCCGGAGCTGGGACCGGAGCCGAAAGGTCCCTGCCGTGCTGGGCAAGCGCTGTGCAGCGTGGCGGTGAGATGAGGCTTGGCAAAATAACACCTCGTGATGTTATCTTAGTCCCACTATAGAATCCCATAGGAAAAATGATTATTTTCATGCTGCTAGCAGTCAAGAAGTTTGACACTTCTTTTTAAAATAATAAGAAAAGAGCTAGAAAAAACAAAACCTTCTGGGATCACAGGTAGTCTTAACAGGCAAAGAAATAAGTCTTCTGGGCTGAGACATGGGGCTAATTTCTACTGCAAATGAGCTTTCTGCATTGTCTGAAAATAAGCAGACCTCAAAGGAAAACATTATTCTATTCCAATTCTACCCCTAAAACCTAATCTGCCCTGATGTTTTCAGTATTGAAGCCTAAAACTAGAGGACTGGGGCCAGTGTTTGAATTCAAATGCCTTTTTAAAACAAAAAGGCTGAGAAGCCCAAACGATCTTATGTTGACTGATGAGGGCGGCTAAGTTGCTGGCTATTCTGCAAGACTCTCTTGCTTTAAAAAAAAAAATAAAAAAAAAATTATGAAGTTATCAAATTAACATGCTGGCAACCTCAATTACAAGATACGGTATTGATTCTGTGTTTCTATGCTCATTTATCTAAGTAATGAGGTGTTTCCAAATAGCCTATTTCTGTTTTGCAGAGAGCGTGCCGGTACCGCTCTGATCCGCAGCCGGTTGTTTATGATTTAGCAGGGAGCCGACTGCTGTTCCCTTCCCACAAAGGGCAAAGATGCTTATTCTCTCCCACTTGTCTTGCATAACAAAAGGCATTTGTCAACCGTTATATAACGGGCTGATTTGTCGCTGCTTCTACCAGCCTTTTTGGAAGCAGTCGGGTCTCCAACGTTACGCAGTAGTATCTGGCAGCCTTTTCTGTGCAGGCTCCTGTAGATGCTCATCGGCACGCGCTGATGCGCTCCGATAGTGCACGGTGCAGCATGACTAATACTTGTCACATACGATTCATTTTTTCCTTTTCTCTCTGCGGGGAGAGAGACATGGTGCGGGAGTCTGCTTTGGTTGTGTGGTTTATTTTCGGGATGGGAGGGTGTTTTTGTTTTAATTTTCCTTACAAAACTCATTCTTCAGGGTGGTTATAGAGAGCTAACGCGAGAGAAACGGGCTCTGTGCGGAGGGCGAAGAGCAGCGACGTTTGTCCTTAGCTGAGGTCACGTCCCAGCCTGGGCCGAGCCTCTGGGAACGGCCGTGCTGGAAACGGAGCTGACTTGGCTGGGTAGCGCTGGAGAGTTGGAGTTACGGGAGCGATTGCACCCAATGCAGGCCAGCTCCCAGAGCCTGCAGTTGCTATTTTAATATCCCAATTAATCTTGTCTCATGCTAGCAATATGATTTTTTTTTAAACTATAAGTTTAGTTTCCTCATTGTTAGAAATATCTTTTTGACCTTAAAAGTAAACAAATGATTTTATTTTCCCATAAATTGAAACCAAAAGCTAGCTGTATGGCTGGTTGCCCCCTTTCTCTCAAAATAGAAATCTGTTTACCTGCAGCTTCAAACTTATTCATTGCCTTATCACTGCCAGGTAGCACACGACCTGGATGAGTTCTCTCTTTGCCTGAAGAAAACGGTGCTGCCATAACCAAATGAGGCCTTGTCTGCCACAAAGTCTTCTAACTTACTGGAAACAGTTTCCTAATTGGCTCTACGTTTTTTTTTTTTAAGTGTTGATCTCGTGCTGGGGTGTGTGTGTGCGTGTGTGGTTTTGGGGTTTTTGTTTAGTTGGGTTTTTTTTCTTTTTTGACAAAGTATGTTTCTTCAGGACCTTTGCACTTCCGGGAGTACTCAGCCTTTGGTCGGGAGAGATATTTGTGATTGGTCGTGAACGTGCTTAGATGGATTAACCCTCTGAAAGTGAAGTTTGTGTTCTCAGGAAACCGAGCGCTATAGTCTCCTTTTTTCTTGCAGGGCTAATGTAGCTGGTGCTGGGGCATAGAGCTCAGAGCTTTAGGAAGCATAGCTTTTATCCGAGTTAGTTGCTTGTTTCAAAATGTAACTCTTATCCTTAGTTCTATTTGATGATAGAGAATTTGTTTTATAAGGCACGACTGGCCAGGGGCGCTGTCAGGAGCGCAGGGGCAGGCACTGCTGTCAACAAACAGTTTGGCTCTACGTAAAACACCACCTGGGAGACATCATCTCAGGTCCCCGTGCCCTGGGCAGTCACCTCGAGACTCTTCTCCTTTGACACTGACCAGCCATGGTATAGGTATCCTTTTAAAGCAGGAAGACCTTGATGGGTTTTAACTTTCCTGGCTGCTTACCAGAAACTTATCCATTTGGTTGTTCTTGGCGTACTTATACAGCCTGTGCAGCCGTCTCGCGTCCATCTCCGAGAAGAGGGAGACATATCTCCACAGCATCCTAGGGGAAAGGACGACCCGTGGCCGTGCACGTGAGTACAGACTACTTCATCCCCCTTTCTAGCGCTTCTTGCCGGCCCTGGTTTGTCAAGGAGTGCACCCTTTGCACAAGGTTTTAAGCTTAGAAACTTGTCAAGAATTGCTCTTCCCTGAGCATGTGAAAGATTATCCATTAACTCAGGTGACCAAGCAGCAACCCTTGCACTTGCCAAGGGATGTTGCTGCCAGGCAGCTCATCGAAACTGGCCTTCCTTTAGATAGTGCTAAGTGTCACGTGGCCTCTGCTAAAATTACCTACGGAGAAACACCAGAGCTCTGCTGTTTCTCAGAGATGAGCTCATCTCATCTCTGAGCATCCAGCGCTTGGAGCAAAACTACTTGAGTCTCGAGCAGGCACCCAAGCTGCTTTCCAGGATCTGGAAATGGGGATGTGGGGGGAGAGGGGGATGTCAAATCAAGTGTCGGCCCAGGAGTGAGGAGCAGAGCTGGGACCCCCTCGTGTGGGAATATCACTGTTGGGGCACCGTCGCTGCTGGGAGGAGGGTGACCTTACTTCTTCCAGTGCTTGACTTCTGAGGGTTTACAGTGTTGCTGAAGAAACATGTTGATGTGGTCCCCGAGTAAGGTCAAGCTCTCCTTAGTGTACTTCAGTTTTTTCTCTCCGGCGAGGTGCTGGGGCAAGTGTAGTTTCCGAAGTGACTTTTTGAAAGGTCTCAAAAACTCCTTGCACTGTAAAGAAAAACAGTTCAATGTGCTGAGATGGATGTCTTTAGCACTCAGTCCCACTCAAGGCATTCCCCTTCAGTAAATAAACTGATTAAATAGCTGGCTGAAGAAACATCAAGGGAGCCCTGTTTTAGTGAATATCTTCTGGGTGGACATGGGTGAACTAAAGTGGGTTTGGGCTGGGGTCTTTGGCAGATCCTTCTGCAGCCTGCTCTGCGTGCTCGAGGCCTGCAGGTTTGGGGGTTCCTTCCTGGCATGATGCCCAGAGTGAAGCACAGCAAATATGAAAGCAAAAGGGGATTTAGGGCTTTCCAAGACCAGGAATTCCCTTTTGACATCATAGGGCAAAAGGAATAGATTTCAGGCTGCAAAAGAGCTGTTGTTTTGCAGGGAGGGGGAAGGGAACCACTGTTTGGGCAGTTCTGCTTCCTGTGGCTGTACCCTGGGATATGTTGCAAATGTCAGCACGTGACAGGAACTCGGTATACAAGTGCAAACCCTGCGTTCTGGATGCCCTCTTATTTTATTCTGTTTTATTTTTTTCTCCTCCTGTTAAATGCAGTCAGGCAGGACTGGGGCTGTGTATGGTTGCGCTGTGATGCAACAGAAATGGAAATGAGGTGCCCCTCTGTAGGGGCTCTGGGGGAACATTAGGAAATTGAGCTTTGTGATTGCAGTGTAAGTGATCCAGATGGACCAAACAACTGAAACCAAGGTGCATGTGGCATTACGGTGAAATAATAACATAGCAGTACATGTTTCAAAAAACTCAACAAGGTATATGAAGAGGTTTTTTTAGTAATGCATTTTTGTTAATTTACTAAAAGACAGTGTGATGCCCAGTTGACTGGAAAACAATAAGGAGGTTAAAGCTTTCAGATGTGAAAGGAAGGAGCTACAGAATCAAGTATTTTGTAATGCTTTTTTGCTCCCTCTGCCAAACTTTTGAGTTTTATTTGCTCCTCCTCTCAAGAGAACTTAATGCCATTTTTTTTCTATTGCTAAAATCTCACAATTTTAAAGGTGTCTTGATCAAGGTTGTCCGTGCAGCAGACGAGCTGAGTTCTGCCAGGTGGAGCGCTCGGACTGCCCTTGGAATAGGTTGTCTCACTTGCTGTGCCAAGCAGCTCCTGCTCTGTGGTCTACAAATTGCCAAAACCATAGATTAGTCTGTCAGCCTATGCAAATCTTGAATCCTCTGTTTAAAAAGGTGCCAAGGACAAACCACGTCCTAAGGCTCAGAAGCATCTCTCTCTCTCTCTCTCTCTCTCTAGCACTTCAGATTGGAGTTTCAGAGGTGCTTAATGAAACTAGGTATTCAATTACAGTTAAAAGTCTATTAGAATTAGGCACCTACTTTAAGTCCATTTTGGAAATCCTACTTCTAATAAATTACAAGGTAAACAATGGTCGCTCGTTCCTAATGGCCTTAATCAAATAAGAGCTGGCATTTGCTCATTAAGTGGGAATGCGTGGCTACAATAGGCTCATTGTAACGCGCTGTGGTCTGTTCCCTACAAAACTTTCACTAATGTCAAAGGGTACCAGGACTGACCCACTGCAAAGGCAGATTAAAAACAAACAAACAAAAAAAACTCTCAGCCACTGAACTCCGTCCTCCCTGGTCTGTGGGTGAAATTTTCCCTTTTTGCAAAGGGAATGGCTTTTTTTCCCCAGTGTCAATATTTGTGTAGGTAACTCCTCTTTTGGAAAGTCAAGATTATATAACTGACTTGAATACAAGCTTATGCTGCCTTTTAAAACATGCTAAAAAGTGTAGGAAGAAAAGTTTTTTGTCTCTGACATGCTCTGTTCCCTTATAGGATTACTACTTCTTGCAAATTTGAGCCCAAATGCCATGTCGGAGGTAAAACTGAAGCTGCACCTTGCTTGCACCTTCCCTCTCCCTGCCTGCGCTCACCTGGCTGGCCCCACTCCCGGCCTGGGGCTCTCCCATGCCCACAGTAGCATTGTCCTTCCCCTCTTCCAAGCTCATCGTCTCTTCCATAAGCTGCAGGGCCCCCTCCCGTCCGAGGAAGGGGCCACGGCTCCGGTGTTGGGGTGTTGCCGCGCCGGGGCAACCCGGGGCCAGTTCCGAGTTCCACGGGCTGCGGCGTCCCGGACCCTGCCGGCAGCACAGAACCATGTTCCTGAGAAATAGGTGGAAAACCCGGGGTTTTCCCCGTGCTGTCGGTAGTCAGGACGTTCAGCGCTGTTGGCAGCTCCTGTGGACGGAGCGAGGGAGACGTCCCCTTCTTGATTTCTTTTGTACCCTTGGGGCCAGAGAGCTCAGCTCACGGTGGCAGGCTCCTGGATGTAGGTGATCTCCATGACCCCAAGATGGGCAACACGGATGCTAACAGGTAAAGGACCTAGGACTGTCCCAGCCTTCTTGGTCTAATACTTCCCCCTAAAACCAGTTTTCCCTTCTCATAACTCCCTGTTGCAGAGGCTCCTTGTCCCCCTGGTTTCTGCCGTGCATTCAGGGATTGGGCAGACTCCGATTTGAGAAGTTTGGGGCTGTTTGTTAGTGCTACAGAGGCTGCTGGTTATTTTCCTGATTATGTCTCTGCTGCTGTTCAAAGCTTCACAGAAACACAGGCTCTTAGCGCAGAGGATCATGTGGAAGATCAGCCCGGTTTGCAGGGTGAGGATCAGCTCCAGAGGACGCAGTTTCCCACGTTAGGAGCGAGGTAACTCATGGCCCAGCTGTGGGATGCTGCACGCGTCTGGGTGTGACAGAAACCTCCTGGCTGGTATTTTTAAAGCAGCTTGATGAAGCTGAGATCTCAATTCCCATTACAATTTAGTAGAAATTCAGGGATATCTCCTTCACATGTGGTGATGAAAGCCAGCCTCCGTGAGCTCAAACTCTACTGGGTGACATCAAATAGCAAACTCTCCCTTTTAAAAAGGGAGTACTTGCCAGGGGAAGTCTGGAAAGGCTTAGAGTAAAAGGGACTTTTTTTTTTTATTTTGGGAGGTTTACTTCAAGGGTAAGCGCTTTCACAAAGGAAAACGAAAACGTGCTGAGCTCCTGTCATGCCCTGACCAGTCAGACAAGTGCAGTTGTTTTGTCCTTTGTACAATTGCAGCAATTGCTGTGGCCCTGACTCAGCTGTGCCAGATTGCACCTGGCATGGGGAGTTATCTCCAGGCCTGTGCAAAGGCCTCTGCTCACCCAGTGCCCCCTGAACAGGACTGTGCTGAGGGAACTGGTGCCCTCTGTGGCAGGAGGAGGGATGCTTTTGGTCAAGTGTCTCCGGGCAACTCCTTTTGCCTGCAGAGATGCTGAGCACCTGCAGGGTACCATTGAGCTATGTGGCTGTCACAGGTAGTAACCTTGGAAAAGTACCCTTTTATGGACCTTGGAACAGATTCAGGTTCTTGTTTTCAGGCCATCTTATGGAAGTTTGGCCTTAATGATAAAAATCCATTAAGAAAAGCTCTGCCTTGGGATGTCTCTGGAATCTTTTCTCTCCCCAGCTGCTTTCTGCCTCCCCCATGCCTGCAGTTTCACTGCAAGCTCCAGGCTGGGGGAGCCTTGCTCCTGGCTGATGCTGAGCAGGAGCAAAGACAAGCAGCCTTTTCATGCCTCACAGGTAAGTTTGCTTTGGCCATCTGAGATATGTCACACCTTCTTAGTCTATAATAGGATTTTAAGATATGCTATATATTAACACACAGGTCTACGTAGCCCAGTGAAGGTGTGAAGATAGCAACGGATAGGTGTTCCTATGCCAGCTTCAGTCTGGTGCTTGTGGGGACTATGTTGGAGGCTGTTTGATGGAAGGAGATGTTGAAAGGGCAGTTAGTTTCTCTATATGTTGCAAACTGCCTGGAGCATGCTCTGCTGCTGGATCTTCTGCCTGTGATCATGGCATCCATCCTCAGTGTGGCAGGCAGCTCCTCTTCTTTTCCCCTGCAAAGGTCTAAACGAAGAAATTGCCATCTCATGTCCTCACCTCAAGCCAGGTGATATCAAAGGACAGCATGTCCCTGGCTAATAACAATGAAGCTGCTTCAGCATGGGCTTTCGCACATGTTAGCACCTAGATTAGAAGCCATTCAGGAGGCCTAGGGACATACGCCAGTTGCTAGCGTGGGCGTAACCCCTATTTACATGGTCATATCTGTGTGCTTGTGAGATTACAGTTTCCACAAATGTGATTATGGCATGGAAAGGCGCTCTTGTTTTATCATGTGTACACATCATTGTTTCAGAGATTGGTGAAGGCCTTGAGTTCCCCTTGAAAACCCCATCTTTGTTCTATGTTTTTGGTATAAGTCACACACACACAGCGCAGCCAACGCAATAAGTATACAACCAGGAGGTAGAGATGAACTTCCTTGGACGTTCTTCATCTGAGGTTCTCATTGAACTAAGAGTTGTCCATTAGCCAGGTTCACAACAACGGAGGCAGTGATCTTACTGGTCTTCTCTGGAATTACTTGATACAGTAGCAGAACAGGAAAGGACTAGAAAGGTGAGGTTGCAAAACACCTTTTTCCACTGTTGAACTGTGTAATAATGTTCAGAGCTATACTCTAACTACTGAAGCTGTAAGTTTTTCCTGTCTCTTGGTGGGGTTTTTTTGGTCAGATTTCAGTACATTTTATTCCACATGTAAGGTCTTGTGGATGAATCCACTCCTACACGATCAGGTGCAAAGAATGCCTTGGAGTCTGTAGATGTCTGTGGTTGTATCCCTGCCCTTACCCCTCTGGAAGACAATGTTAACTTCCACTTTTGAAGCCATCATGTCTGGAGATGGCACAACCCAGACCACGTCTATATAGTAAATCTATTCGGTTATATTGCTTACTTAAGGTCACAAATCCTTTGAAAGTGCCCTAATTGAGTGGGGGAAAGTCAGGAATACAAGTAGATCGCACATCTTGTAATTCCCCTAGTGAAGGAAAGGGAGGCTAAGTGCCAGGCAGACATACAGTGCTGTAACAGTACACCTTAGGGAAAACTTTTCCTTCTCCCCGACAGCTCTTTTGTGAATAGTAATTTCTACTGTTTATTGAGTGCCTTAGTTTTCAATGAGCTGTGAAAATGCAAACATTGACCAACTTTTCTGGTGAAGCAGCTCTTCCAGTGCAGGATTATGCACGTAGCCAAAAGCAAAATATTTGTGAAGATATTCTGTGTATGCTGCTGTTTGTAATTTGCTATTTTATGCAGATTTAATATAGATACCATGTGTGATTTGATGAGTCAGGTTGCATATATTATACACAAGCCTCTGATGCAATATTTATGTAGTGATAGGCCACAGGGAATGAGACCAGACAAACATACAGATGTACAGGTATTTCACATTATACTTGAAAATCAGCTGAAGGTACTGGTGGTTGAGTTAAATATAAAAACCAAATTGAGCATTGCCAGATGTGTTTCAGTGTAATACTAAAAAGGACTTGTAATGAGAAATGCTCTTTAGTAACCTGTTCCTACCAAGAGGGTGGTGAACGCTTCATTTGATAGAGTGATTAATGATACTTGGTGTAACCGCTTAGCGTAAGGGGTGGAGGCTTTGCCAATTGGAGCTGGAAATTCCTTTCATGGTGCTCCTGCATGATGCAAACTTTCACAGCCAGCTGGAGACCAGTCTTCTCCCTGCAGTCTGATGCTAGTAAATACAGCTCAAGTTAATAAATCTTGTATCAGTGGAAGAGATCCAAAAGAGAATTTGGGCCTAGCTCTTGTTTCTGTGGTGCTATTAAAGATATTTTAAAATATCACGGGAGCCTCTTTTTGCTAAGCGTTGGGAATTGTTTGTTTAATCCCTTGTTTGAATTGATGTGGTAAAGAACTCAAATGCTACTTGTGTCCAGTGCCATGTAGGTATTAAGCATGAAACCAAAAATACATTTGCGTCCCTTTTACTATCTTCATCTCTTTTTGAAAAAACTGACCAGACATGTACGAAATATCTTCCTACTGGAAGACACAGCGAGCTAAATCTTCCACAGTACCCAGTGCTACCAGTGACTAATCTCATGTGCTGGATAGCTCCTTGTCAATAGATGCATCTCTTCATGTTCCTACACTATTTTTGTGCTTCCAGCAACCTTGTTGTTGAGTTTCTTTCTTTAGATTTCCAGCCAGATGTTAGCGTGCTTATTAATGGTGTTTGCTAATTGCATTTTTTTTTTTTTAAGCTGCTTGGTATTCTGAGGAACTGAAAGGGCATTATCAGCTTCCTCTGTGCTGTGCGACTTGCAGCCTGTGAGGAACGGAATAGTTAAAGGCCTTCCTTTGTATTGTACTTGGGAATTTGTGAGGGTTTTGTGCGAATTGATTATGCACTGTTAATGGTGTGTTCATAAACCTGCCCCTTCGCTGCTGCTCACCCAGTCAAGTCTATAAAAATTTAGGTATCTTTTAATATCAAAAATGACTTAACTCTTCTGTTTATATGATGTGATCCAACAGATTAACTGTCGCAGCCAATAACTGCCCTGCTCGCTTTCCTCTGCCACCAATAAACTTGAGGACCTGACAGAGCAATGCCCATCGAGATAAAGACACCTTTGAGAAGGCTGTCCTCAACTTGGTTACGCCTGCCCAGGCTTCGGGGCACGTGATGTGTGCCAGGGCCACCGGGGTTGCAGAGCTCCATCTGCCCATAGCAATTGTCTCATCCTTGTGGGGCCGGGTGCGCTTCTCCTGCGTCCCACCTGGCGCTTCCCGGCTTTCTCCCGGGCCCCTGCCTGCGCGCACACCGCGCTGCCCCTGTGCCTGGCCCTCTGTTCAACAGTGGGGCTGCTGCTTAGGATATTCTAAACTTCTACTTAACACTTACTTCAGATCATGGATTTTCCAGGGGAAGTCAGGTTTGGGGCTTTTGGTGTTTTTTATTTTGGGTTTTATTTTTATGAAAAAGGAAGTTCCCTTCTGGCCTACAGAATGCATCTAATTGAGAGAAGTGGCTTAATTTTTCCTTTCTTAAAACTTTGAGCCCCCTCTTATTGATTAAAGATAATGAAAAGACAACCAGCCTTTATGTGATGGGTTTCAGTCTCTGGTATTTATATTGCAGTGGGGTAGCTGAAGCGCAACGTAGGCTCTGGCAGGATAGGCAGAAGAAGAAAAAGCAGTGTGTGTCACTTAATTTCTGCAATGTTTTGATTCCC